CTTATGCTCATCAATCCTCCCTCTCTATCTCTGGATTCCTTGAGTTCAGCTCAGTTTTCAGTTGTGGGAATCTGCCTCTGTTTCCATCAGTCATTGGTAAAAGCTTCTATTTCCCAGACTCTCTAGCAGTAGGACTGAAGGCTGGCACTCCCCTGATCCATTTCTAAAATCCATATATGAGTGAGTTCATACCATGTTTGTCTTTTTGTGACTGGGTTACCTCACTCAGGATGGTTTCTTCTAGTGCCTTTCAGTTGCCTGCAAATTTCAAGATTCCATTGTTTTTTTTCTCCATTGCGTACATGTACCACATTTTCTTTATCCACTCTTCAGTTGAGGGGCATCTATGTCGCTTCCAGGTTGTGGCTAGTACAAACAATGCTGCTGTGAGCATAGTGGAACAGACGTCCTTGTCGTATAAATGTGCATCTCTTGGATGTATGCCTAAGAGTGGAATTTCTGGGTCTTGTGGTAGCCTGATTCCCATTTTCCTGAGGATTCTCCATACTAATTTCAAAAGTGACTGTATGAGTTGGCACTCCAATCAGCACTGGAGGAGTGTTTCCCTTTCTCCACATCCCCTCCTACATAAAGTGTCATTGGTGTTTTTTATTTTAGCCATTCTGACAGGAGTAAGATGGTATTTCAGAGTTGTTTTGGTTTGCATTTCCCTGATGGCTAGGGATACTGAGCATTTTCTCAAGTGCCTCTCAGTCATTTTAGACTCCTCTATTGTGAATTCTCTATTTAGTTCTGGTTAAATTGGATCCTTTGGTGTTTTGGAGACTTGCTTCTTGAGTTCTTTATAAATTTTAGAGATCAGCAATCTGTCAGATGTGGGGTTTGTGGATATCTTTTCCATTCTGTGGGCTGTCTTGTTGTCTTGTTGACTGTCCTTTGCCTTACAGAAACTTCTCAGTTTCAGGAGGTCCCATTTATTCATTGTTGACCTCAGTGTCTGTGCTACTGGTGTAATGTTCATGAAGCTGTCTCCTGTACCAATTCGTTCAGGAGTACCACCCACTTTCTCTTCTAAGATGTTCAATGTGGCTGGATTTATGTTGAAGTCTTTGATCCATTTGGACTTAAGTTTTGTGCATGGTGATAGACATGGATCTATCTGCATTCTTCTACATGCCAGCATCCAGTTATACCAGTACCATTTGTTGAAGAAAAACTCTACCAGGGAACTCCTACAGTGGATAAATACTTTCAGCAAAGTAGCAGGATATAATATCAACTCAAGAAAATCAGTAGCCCTACTATATATAGACAATAAAAGTGCTTAGAAAGAAAATAACTCTTTACAATTGCCACAAACAACATAAAATACCCTGGGGTAATGCTAACCAAACAAGTGAAAGTCCTCTATCACAAAAACTATGAGTCTTTCAAGAAAGAAATTAAAGAAGACAGCAGAAAATGGAAAGATCTCCCATGCTCTTGGATAGGTAGGATCAACATAGTAAAAATGGCAATCATACCAAAAGCAATCTACAGATTCAATGCAATTCCCATTTAAATCCCAGCACAATTCTTCACAGACCTTGAAGGAACAATAATCAACTCTATATGGAAAAACAAAACACCCAGGATATCCAAAACAACCCTATTCAACAAAGCAACATCTGGAAGCATCACCATCCCTGATTTCAAGCTCTATTATAGAGCTATGGTCCTGAAAATAGGTTGGTATTGGCACAAAAATATACAGGTAGACCAATGGAAACGATTTGATCACCCCAATATTAACCTATACATGTATGAAGATCTGATCTTCCACAAAGAATCTAAAAATGTACATACAGTCCTTATCTCACAAATAAGTGCCACTTTGTTCTATAACATGGTCACAGAGAATCACATGACTGTGACCAACTTCACTTAACTGGTCCAAACTGTGGAAAATTACAAAATTAAAAATAGTTAAAAGCCTATAGTAGTTTACTATTATACTACACAAAGTCTTCCCAAAATGAGGGTAATTTTATTGTAGTAATACAGAAATAGAAAAACACTGTAGAAGAATATCTAGGAAAGAGTAGCTAATACAGACAAGGCTAGAAGCTGATTCACAGATTCATATACAAAAATTCTTTCATTTAATACACACTTATATGTGTAGCTACATCTACCCAAAAATGACACTAAAACTACTGTTTAAATAAAACAATAAAATGTCAATTTATTTTGTTTTAATGAGTTGATATATTTAATTTTACTTCTTAAATTTAATCAACTTAAAATTTTATAAGGTAAGAAAATATTGAAATCAACTTAAAAGCCAGAAAATACATATTTGAAAATTATGCAAAATAGTAAGCATGCTTTAGCATCTGGTTTAATTCCAGGGACATTCAAGCATTTTCCTGAGTCACATCAATATCCTGAGTAAATAAATTTAGCTATGTGGGGGCACTGCATTTAATCACTATTACCATAGAGTGGATTATTTTCTTTAGGCATAAGGAAGGATTGATTCTAGATTTAAAACCAATTTGTTAAAAGGCACATGTCCTGGAATCCAAAACCTCATCTGAATTCAGTTTTTCTATGCTAGGAAGTTGAAGTGAGGCTGATTTGGGCTTTAGTCCCTCAAAACTGCATTACACAGAGTCAGAAAGGGTAAAATCAAAACGCCATGTTTGCATTCTTCCTGTGTGATCTCTCATTAGAGAATCCTAAGTATCTGTAAGACAATGGCTGCTAAGCAAGTTGGCAGCAGCAGGCAGTGTTCCTTCAGGCCCCTTGGGACAGCGCCAGGGGGACACAGTCTCTAGCAAATTTGGGCTGGATTCTCATCCAAATGAACACCTGCTGTCATTGTCCAGCATCAATCCTGCACTCAACAAGACCAGCTCTCTTTGTGGTGGAATCCATTCATAGGGAAAAGGCCTGCCAGTGTTCTACACCCTTTATTTCCTTCTCCTTTTACTAAGTGGTCAATCGCCTGAGTATCTTGGAGACAGAGATTATGCTCAGTTTATCTTTGGCTAGTTGGTGTGATAATGATCTACATTAGGAGTTTACTGGGTTACATTCCTGTCTATTTAAATACTCTTTGGTTTCCTTCTCTTCTTATTTCTCTTCCTCTATCAAACTTAAGTTGCTTTTCAAGGGCAAGGATTCTATTGCAAAATTATATACTTTAAAGAAAAAATCACCCTATGCAATTTGCAACTGGATCAAAACAAATAATTCAAGTAAAAATAAATTCAATGTATTCTTCCAATGGGTCAGAAGTATTGGCCCAATCACTCTCTAAGTCCTTGATTGCCATTCATTTACTTTAATATAATTGTTTGCAGGATTTATGCAATTGGTTGGTGGTGCTCCATGATCCTTTTACACTCAAATGGGAATAAAATTAAGACAAATGCTTTTAAAAATAATTATTAATCAAGGAGCATATATGCCACAGACAGCCCAGTTTAAATTTCCACATAACTTTGTAACACTGTAGGATAAATGCATAACCTAAAAACTTACTAAGCCTTATTAGTTAGTATTTATAAAAGTTACTACAAAATGCGCAAGATTTTAAACAACAACAAAAAAGAATTGTGTCAACCATGTTTTATTTTCATTTCAAAAATTACACACTAGAATATCAATACAAGGAGTACATTCTGAGAAACTTTTATCGTAAATGCTGTCTCTGTGCTCTTCTATGTACACTTTTGTACCCTTGTTTTCTTGCAAAATAACTCAATTCCTTGTCAGTTGCTAGTGTAAAATGTATCTAAATAGCTGCAGCTTGCTCTGTTATACAGAGAGAGTCTCTCTGCCATCTGCAGCCCTTGATCCCTCTTGTTGGGTTTTGTGCTTGTTATGCACGAGCAAACGCATCAGCCTTTTCATTTCATTCATTAGACTTTCAATTCTTAATTAGTGTTTTCAAGATTCTCTCTTCTATATTTCTGTCGTGTTATTTTTCTTCTCCTTTTGTCTTCACTCTGAAGCAAACTTAGAATTCAATCGCAAAAGGTCTTTTCTATTAAGATGATTGGTAAATATATTAGTTACTTATTTGAGTGATTAATTAGGTGTAGTGGAGAATGGGAAAATATATCCTCAATTTGAATAGCAGGGATAACTTTAGTGTTGGTTTCAATGGCCTGTGCTCCAAAAGCTTGGATCATAGCCATCCACCAATATCACACATCTAGTGTGACTCTTGTATTAAAGAGAAACTCCAACTGGACTACCAAAAAGAAAGTGGTGGCTATTAGGGTACAGAGCTGCTGTATTTAGCATCTAAGAGATAAGTTATAATTGTCACCATTTCCTTGCGACCTTCTCTTCTTTGGATATCTCCATTAAAGGAGATGGGTCAGAAAGCTGTGTGTGTTATGAACAGTTGTTAATTCCTCATCTGGGGCATGCTGAGCAAACTGTGAAACCAAAGATTACACTGCTTTATTAGGTCACCAGCATCGTACTGTCTCTTTCCCCACAGCTAATCTCAAAGGAGCAGGAACTTCTCTACTTGATCATTTCTCCACTTGACTCATGCCTTTTTCACTCTTGTATAGAAATGCTTTAACTACTCTTTGACCTTATGACAAAATGTACTGTGGTAAGCAGAATCTAAGCACGCACCCAAAACCAGGAATGAAAAGATATGTAAACGGAATAAAAAGTGATTCTGTGTAAATATAACTGACCAGTTTTGACAGGCTTTTATAGTCATACTTCCCCGGACTTCACAGGAATTGTACGTCTTTCACTGGTTTCAGAATATCTTCTTTTCACTAGCACTGTAAAAGCTGAATTGATGGGAAAAGCTTGTCTGTTAAAATATTTCGCCGGGCGGTGTTGGTGCACGCCTTTAATCCCAGCACTCAGGAGGAGGCAGGCGGATCTCTGTGAGTTCGAGGCCGGGCTGGACCGATAGCCCCCGAAACAATACAGAGAAACCCTGTCTCGTAAAAAACAACAAAAAAAATATTTCTACAAGATAGTAAAATCACAGCTGTCCCTTCTGCTTCTTCTTTCAGGATGCTTCCATTGCACACAGGTTCCATGTCATGAGAGAAAAGCACCCAGAGAAATTCAACAGCCGGTAAGGCAAAAACTGACAGGTTTTTAATTGTGACTGCTATTGGGAACTGCATCATCAGAGAAGATATCTATGTAGTATACACTCTTTATATATAAGGACTGATTGAAGTTCTGCTTGGGTGGTCACATTAAGATGAATGTATAAATGTATGTGTTGTTCTTCTTTAGTTTTAATGAGGCTATAATGACAAGTGGAGTGGGCATCGTATCTATTTCAGTTTCATGGGCTTTAAAGTATTTCAAGTGTGTGTTGAAAGTGACAGTTAATAACACAAACTAGAAGCCTTTGCACGGCTCTGTATGTGAGGGTGATCATCTTTCATCCCAAGGGAAAATGTGGAGTTCTGATCTGACAGCTATGAGCCATCTTATTTTATACAGGTGTCTCAGGCCACTATCTTTTGAACCGCTGTCCCCTATTAGCTTCTAGTAAAACCCAGTAAAAATTGCCATTCCAATAATATCAACAGAAAAATATATAGATGGAGACCTTTGTCCTTTCTCGGGGAAACAGGAAAAGCTTGGCTGCCTAGCGTTGGTTCCTAGGGGTAAAAAGGGACTGTACCCTAGAAAAATGGGGAAAAGTGGTATATTTCCTTCTCATTATTTTCTCATTTCCACCTGGTATTTCATAAAGTGAGAAGACCATGATCTGCATGTGCATGTAGACATTATATGACTTTATATGCTGGTATTCAAAGCCAAAGACTCTGTTTTCTGTATTGGCTAAACCTGACCATGTGATGTAGGAAATGCCATTGTCTATGTTAATTTCCCCATATCCTAGAGTTTGACATAATTTTCTTACATGTAAAGAAACTTATAAAGATAAGTAATATAAAATATATTTCAAAAGTTACATCTTTCAAACTGGGTGGTGGTGGTGGCACAGGTCTTTTATCCCAGCACTCAGGAGGCAGAGGCAGTCAGATCTCTGTAAGTTCGAGACCAGCCTGGTCTACAAGAGCTAGTTCCAGGACAACCTCTAAAGCCACAGAGAAGCCCTGTCTCGAAAAAAACAAAAACAAACAAAAAAGTTACATCTTTCTAAATTGTAGGCATGGTGGCATAATTTATTAAATAATCTTTTTATATTGAATAATCTTAATAAAAAGTCTCATCATATCCTGTCTAATTTTAATAGATAAATTCAAATATTTTTGTAAAACACATACTGCTAATACTTCTAGTGCCTCGTGTTTCTTCTTAGACTACAAAGAATAAATTTTGAACTTATAACAAGCTGTATCTTCTCTCTTAAATCAGGAAACTATAGAACCATCTATTGTTCTCTCTCATTTCGGTAGCTGCATGTTTATCTGGCTTTGGTTCTAAGGAAACACTAGCTTTGTAAATGAGTTGATAGTGCTTCTTCCACATTTGGAGGAAGAATTTGAGGAGTATTGGTAAGAGAACTTCTTGAAGTTTTAGAAGAATTCTGCAGTGCATCCATATGGCCTGGGAGAGTACTTTCTGAGACACTTTTATTACCGGCTCAATCTCATTGCTTATTATGGATTTCTTCAAGTATTTATATCTCTTCGATTTAATTTTGGTAAGTCATATGCATTTGGAAATGTATTCATTTCTTCTAAATTTTTTTAAATTTTGAGTATAAGTTTTTAAAGTATCTCATACTTAAAAGATCTAAATGACTCTATCAGAAAATTTAGATCTAATAAAGTAACAGGATACTAAACCAAGTACAGAAAACTTCAGCTTTTTAAATACCAATAATCAGTTTGACAAAAAAAATCAGAGGGCAAATAAAATTTATGGTGACTTGAAAATAAATAAATAAATCTCTAGGAAAAACCTCGAACTGATGATGCAAATGTCTTCTAAACACTGGATACAGAAAAATGAGAAACCACTTAGATGGTGAAAAGACCTCCCATGTCCATGGCTTGGAAAAACATCAGCATTTTGAAAGTATATATACTACAGATTAAATGCAATCACCATCAAAATTCCAAGACTGTTTCTGAAGAATCATGAGAAACAGTCCTAAAATTCATATTGCAGCATATAAGATCTCAATCTGCCAAAACACCCCTGAGAAGGAACAGCAAGGTCTGAGGCACCACGGTACTTGATCTCAAGCTATCCTATATAGGTATAGTTACAAAACCAGCCCAAAAAAAGCCTACTCACAAATAAAGAGTAAAAAATAAGCCAAAAACAAATAAAGATAAAAGAAAATAGAAAGTCACAGAGTCTGAGCCAACAACCAGCAAACCTGAATGTGACCTACCTAGGCCTTCTAAATATGTGACAGTTGTCTGCTTGGTCTATTTATGGGACTCCTAAAATGGGAGCAAAGGCTGTCCTTAATGCTTTGACTGGCTCTTGGGAATCTATTCTTCATATAGATTGCCTTGTCCAGCCTTAATACAAGGGGAGGTGCTTAGTCTTACTGCAACTTGATATGCTATGCTTTGTTGATACACATGGAAAACTTGTCCCTTTCTTGAACAGAAACAGAAGTGGATGGGGAGGGGGATGAAAAATGGGGATGCTAAGGAGAGATGGGAAGGGAAATGTGGTAGGGATGTTAAATAAATTAATTAATTAATTAAACAAAAATGTGAATATAAAAATGGTAAAAACAATATAGTTACAGCTTACCAGTTTTTGACAAATGGATCAAAACCAAAAGTTCTTTGGAAAAAGAAGTCTTTAGCAAAAATTACTGGCAAGACTGGACTTCCTCCCAAAGAACAATGATGCTACTTCATATCTCTCAGTATGTCATGAGGTGAAAATGTCTAAAATGGATGAAAACAAAGGGTAAGAGATGCTGGGAAGGATGTAGGGAAAGATGAAAGAGTATAAACTAGAAAAACACTATGGAAGTTGATATGAATTTTCTTCACAAATCTAAAATTACAATTGCCATATGACTCAGCTGTACCATTTTTAAGCATATAGCAGGAAACGTCTGTGTTAACATACCATGGACATACTTGCACATGTCTGTTTATTGCTGAGTTGTGTGCAATGGCTAAGAAATTAATTCAGCCTGGATGACTATCAAGACATAAATTGATAAAGATGATATGATGCATATATACAATAAAGTCTGTTCAGACTTAAAGAAAACTAACTCATGATATTTTCAGAAAAAAGATATAACTTAACTGGAGATCCTTATGTTAAGCAAAGTAGGTCAAAGTCAGAAAGACAAATACGTTTTTTTTCTTATAGAAAGAAGATTCTGAATTTAAATGGGGATGTAAATGCATACAGGATAGACGGATGAATACAAACAAAATAAAATGACATGTATATATGAAGATGCCATTGTGAAACTATTCTTTGTATGCCAATTTTAAAACAATAAAGAAAATAAAATGAAACCAATTTATTCTGTGGATTTTATCACTTGATTATATACCTTCCATATTCTGAAAACAAAATTATCAGTTACTGTATGTAAAACTACTTCATAAGATAGAGTATATTTTCCCAAATGGCAGTCCAGGGAGCATCCATGAGGTGATGATGATATATTTAAAAAGGAATAAGACCCAAAGAATCCTCCTTAGAAGATGCAGCATGCACCATTTTCCCTTCAATACACCCTGCGTTAAAAACAATTAAAAGACTAGAAATACATCAGAATGGGGGATGGCATTACATAAGACATTAACTCCACAGATACATTCAGTAAGGAGAAAACCAGGACAGTGTGCCAGAATATTAAATATGTAGAGTAACATCAAAGTGTTTATATTGTAATCAAATTTGATAGCATGTAGGTAAAACTGCAAACATTCATGATACCCTCAAGTGTCAGAGGATAATGAATTCCTTTGAGAAGAATAACTTTATTCTTAATAGTAAAAACTTGTATCACTCATATGTCTTTTCATTTTTATTTTGAATACAGCTAATAATTTATGATGTCTTCCTTGCCCAATATGTGGCTAGATACTGCTTGCATGTCTGAAGACCCTGATAGTATTTTCAGATGGAAACCTCTGTGAAAATTTGTGGCATGAATGATCTTGTTTTATAAATAGTTTCTAATAGTTAATTTACCTGAAACAAAAATGGGATATGTAGTATCATCTGTAATTGCATGTTTCCTCATTATTGTGATTTCAAATAATTTTTATGATTAATTCAAAGAACTTTTATGATGAGTTCAAAAGAATACTTGTGTTATTGCTCATTCTCTGTGATATGACAGCTGGACTTCCTCTCGCCTGAAACAGTTCTAGACCCCTGGACAGACTATTTGTGGTTGATTCCAGACTGAGATGAAACAGAAAAATGTGGCCTGACCCAATAGCAGATGTTGCTCTTGCCTACCTTGGTAGGGACTCTACAGATACAAAGGGTCTATGTGGATTTTCTTCCCTTCTGATGTGCTTGGGTGGCATATCTGAAACACATATGGTATAAATGATATCTATGGTATATGTGTGGCCAATAGTACATGAGAGCATATTAGACAGTTTGCCAGCAGATGCCAGAATTTCCCAACCCATGGACAAGTCCCCATTTAACTTTTTCTTCTCCACCTGAATCCTTCCTGTTTATAACCAATTATTCACTTCAGTAGAGTTTTGGTTATAGACAGGAGAATTTAGAGGCAGAGATTAACCACAAATGAAAGTTTAAAATACTTGTCAAGAGCCTTCATGGATATTCAACAACTTCCTGAATGTTCTCCCTTCTAGGAGACTTCTGCTTCTATTTCGGCTTACCCAGAAGAGGAAAGGGAGTAGAGTATAGACCAAGTATTTTGTTTAATAGTTCTAGTTCAAGTATTAAGAACAAAAATGACAACGATGAGGAAAAAACAGAGAAGGAAGAGGAGGTTTATTTCACATCACTCCTACCTTTACAAACTTCTAGTCTTAAATCATTTAGCCATTTTTAGACTATATAAGCTTGTTGTTTTGTCTTATTCTTCCTCAGCATCCAGAACCACGCTACATTTCTTGCTAGACACATGAGGTGAGGACATATTTTGATCACTATAACTTGTTT